AATACCCTTAGAAAAAAGGCCCAACGCAACGCAAAAAATACTCTTAGAGCTTCAGAAAACTGAATTCAAAGTAATTATTAATGTTATCACTAGACTAAACACTACTAACTCAGATACCATCTCCCTAAAATGAACGAAGTGAACAAAGTAAAAAAACAGAAAATACTTAACATACTTTTAGGACATGTCCTGAAAGCCTCATAAAAATGTGGTTTAGCTGTAACGATTCCTGTCTTACAGGAATCTGTTCTTATTCTGGTACAAGAATACAAAGTAGAAGTAAAAAACAGGCTGAATCATTAGTCCTCAAAAGATTTCCAGAAACTATAGTAAAATTGAACAGTATCCTCGAAACGTCTCGCTTTAAAAACAGAATCTTCAATGTTCATCAAGACTTAAACATACCAATACCAGACCCAATCATCTTGAACAGTCACAGTGAGCAGCCAGTTGCAAAAAAGGCTAAACTTGACCCCAGCCTAAACCAGGATGGCACTAAAGTTATGATTCTACTTACTGGTCTAGTTTCAACTAATAAAATATAGTAGAGTTGATAGAACAAGTCAAACCTCACATTAGGAAAATCGTGGAAGACTCAAACCTGATAAAAATGTGGATTTCCTTTATGATTCCAAAAATTTAAGACGGTAACAACTTTGGTGTATCCAATCAAGAAGAGACATTGGCTGAAGTGCAGACAGTGGAAACTGAAGCAGAGGTAAATTAATTTCGAAAGTAGCTAAGTACCGTCACATAGAAGACTACAGATAATCAGTGCAAGAAGTGGGCGAAAAAGAGTATCTTAGCTTACGGTTAGTGACGTGTAAAATAAGGAACAGATGCTGTGCCCCACATGACATTGTTTTTAAAAATCCCGGCAAAATTAAGAAGCCCAGACCTTCAAATGCCACTGAATCTTTGTACTAGACTCAATAAAAATTTATTGTAAAAAAAACTTAACGTACTGTCTACAAATGCAAACTAATTATTCACCAACGTTATTGTATACCTTAAAATTTATTTAGAACCTGATTAACCAACAAACCAAATCTAAAAATCTACATATCCTGCCTGTCCATATAGCCATAGTCTACAAAAAGAATGAAACTTGGTTGTGTAAAAAAGGAAGAATTATTTAGAGCTGGCGTTACGGATGATACTCAGTCCCATCGAAGTACTGACAGCAGAAAACTATTCTTTTATTTTTTACTCACTCCGTTCTTTAATTCTGTTTAGATGCAATGCATAAGGATGCGATAAAGATTGAAGTTGACGAACCATATCGTTTAAGTAAATAAAATGTACTTAACGCTTTTTAGCCAACCTATCAGCAAATAATTGGTTATATTCACAGCTGACGGACATGCAGTAACTAGCAAGTACAGGGTCGGCAGGTTATTTGCGGTTTACGCCCGATTGAGATTATTTATTGGCGATTATGTTTTTTCTTTTGAAAATATTTAATTGACGGTAATGAGCCTCGACGTATCTAGTGGTTAGTTATAGTTGCATTTTTATTCTTTATGAGCTAATTTATGGTAAAATTGGTCTTTATATTTATTTTTTTGAAATTAGGCAGCAATTTTTTTTTTAATTTTAGCAGGTCTCTCAACTGGAAAACCGACATTCTAGAGACAACTTCTGGTAGCGCTGTCCGGTAAAATGGGCAGGACGTCATCTAAAGCATTATTGCATACCTACAAACCTGTATAAGTCCGCTAATCAAATACAAGGCATACGCCTACGCATCACTTAACAGCCGTCAAATTAACACACAACACAGATACTATCCATCAGCACATATACATCAGGTAGCCAATCTAACACCGATTAAGGACAGAATCCTATCCCTCAGCAGGAGGTATGTCCTTCGAACCATTCCAGGCTCGAACAACTGGGCCAAACAAAATGCAATCGCCGAGGGCAAATACTCACCACGGTTCCTAAAAGAAAATTTCCATTCCTTCCAGCTAAACTTCTACACAATACTGGAGACGAACTTCCTAATGAGTATTTTAATATTCTAGAATCATTCCCCATAAAATATCGCAGCTAACAACTGCACGCCAAAAACGCTGATTGAGCTGTTCCTAATATGGCTGGTAACCCCTGAAGTACTTCCTTCGACTTGTTTGGTCTTCTTCATCAACAATTCTTGTGCGCTTCACCATATCGTCCACATCACATGTGCCACCTTCTGAAACCCAGCTTTTTAGCAATCCACCTACATCTTCACAGGCATTCGTCATCACGTTTACCCCCCTTACTCCAAAAAAAGGAGTACCCCTTTCTTGAAGAGGCAACAGCTTAAACAAGGTAAAAACATTGCATCGAACACTTTCTCACAGAAGTTGCAGCCTATCACTGTAATAGCGTCGTATTGATCTTATATTCAGCTACGTAGCGCTAACCAACAGAAAATGAAAACCTGTTTCTTTAACTACAGATACACATGGCAATTATACGTTATTTTGTTCTGTTCCCACAACTAAATAATATGACTTCTCCATATCATAGGTATACATATGTGTCCAAGTCCTTGAATGTTTTATTTTCTAAAAGCTGTTGTATTATGAATAAATGATCAATACAGGACCCGTCAGCTCTGTTCTTCATTTGTAATTTTTTGGCATATTATTTTAAAACCCTCTCACATTCAAACCTTAATTGTTATTTGTGTCCCATTTCTTTTCTTGTATAATACCACTATATTTTATGTTTTCCCTTCATCTGGTCATTTATTTTCTTCTCTGAAAGTGGTCTGTTCTATATTGGTATATACTGGTATGTTTAAAGATTTAAAACTCACTTATTTCGAGTCCCCTTCTGGACCTCTTTTTTCTTTATCTCTATGTTCATTTTATTTTCTTTGAAACGAAATGCTCTCAGACATAGCAGTGCGCCCACACAATGTCAAGGCTACAATTCCCAAGAGTTCACCAGCCTAAACATCGCTTGAGCAACCGTTTTCCCCAGGTTCCATGCATCACTTGAATACGATCGTGTTAAACCTCTGGATTGGTAAGAGCAGGAGTTACAACACGCATCTCACAGTATCGAGAGTCAGTTTTGGTGCGGCTTTCAGGTGATTTGAATCCTGTTTATCTTCTCTTAATAAAATTAATTAGGCTTATAATCATATGGTCCATAAACGTAGATCTAAACAAAAATGGTACCAGAAAAAATATAAATAATACCAGTTATTTTTGACCATGGCAGTTAAGGGTTAAAAGAAAAAAAAAGGAAATCAACAAGCACTTTTTATGTTTTTGTGTATTTGACCACTAATCCATTATAGTACTAGTTATCCATTCCCAATAGCAGACTTGCTAAGAAATTAGAATAACAGATACAGATGATAGAACTAGAAGAACACGAGATTACTTAGCTTATTTCTGTGGTTCATTGATTTCCGTAACAGCTCTAGATCCGACCCTGCATAAATGATATTCTCGCATGTACATGATAAAATCTTTTGTAGGCAACAAATGTATATAAACTACTTCAGTTATTTGTGTATGCATAAAGATGTTTCGTACGATTTGCATATCGTATAATTACGACAAAAAGAAATCAATTTGTATGCACCTTGATAAACCAACGCGTGCACTCGGGTCATATTTTCACGATGGATTCGCCAATTAAAATTATTTTACTTCTTGAAAGATAAACGATGCATTTAACCCGGCGACTGTGTGGTGAAATTTTCTAACAGGAGCTGTGTGTTGGGGTAATTATCACCCCATTTTTTTTTTATTTATAAAATTGAGAAAATATTTTATTTTTACATGCAACCTTAAGATTTTAAATCATGGTTATATTGTTATATAATCTTTTTCAAAGTTAAATCATTTTAAAAATTTTCGTTAATAATTCAACGATTCAAAAAATATACTAAAATTTAGTTGATATTTAAACCACTACCACAATTTTTGTTAATAAAATTTTTATTAGAGATATAGAATAAAAAAAAACTACAAATTCTATAAAAAGTAACTATGATCTTTTGTTTAAAAAGCATAATTAACAATTATTTGCACATTTAGAACAAAAATATACACAATGTTCAAGACAAAGAAAAATGTCACATTTTACACATTTCTTTTGGCACTTTCTGTCCTTTCCACGGGGACACACTCCACATCTGGATGTTGTTCGTTGTTTCTTGTTTGAAGGTCCTTGAGAGTCCTCTCCGCTGTCATTTCTTTTTAGTTTCGCTCTTATGTCTGATGGTATTCTTTGATTATTACCTCTTTTTTCAATATATGGTTTAATTAGTGCCAAACCAAGTTGTTTTAAAAAAAATCTGCGTTTTAGTTTTTCATTTGGCTTGTTATGTTGATAAATAACATAACTATTTATTCCTGCATTATTAAGCAGCGAAAAAAAAATTGTTAGTGGCCATCGCTTGCTATTACGAGACACATTATATAACGCAGACATTTCGTCAACCATATCCACTCCACCTTTTGTGTGATTATAAAAGTCTATAATCTCAGGTTTATTTAATTTGTGGTCAAATTCTGTATCATGATGAAGTGAAGAAGCTACTAACACTATTTTATTTTTCTTCGGGACAAAGGACACCAAAGAAATGTCTTTTTTAAATCCGAAAATTGCGTGGTTTTCAGCTCTGTTTTTGGAATTCAAAAAGATTGTCGGTATTTCCCTCTTGTTTTTACGAATAGTTCCAACAGATGTTAACCGATGTTCACTAAGCAAATGTTCCATTAGCGGTATGCTGGTAAACCAGTTGTCGAATGTAATGTTGCGATTAGTACCACGAATTGGATTTACAAGCCTGTTTACTACATCAAACGGTCTATTACTAAATTGAAAAGGTCCCTCAGGCTGTGAGCCAACATATACCTCTAAATTTAAAATGTAGAATGTTTTGGCATCCACTAAGGCAAATATTTTAATGCCATATTTGGACGGCTTATTGGGGATATATTGCCGAAAGGAACAACGTCCCCGAAAAGATTCTAATTTTTCGTCGATCGTCAAGTATTGACTAGGAATAAAATATTGTTGACAATTGGATACAAATCGATCAAAAACAGCTCGTATAGCTGCCAGTTTATCTACTCTTTTTCGTTCGTCTCTATTTTCGATATTATCGAATCGTAGGCACTTTAAAAGTAATATAAATCTTTGCAGGGACATTGTTAGCCTGAAAATGTCAATTCCTGTTCCATCTGTAGCCCAAAGATCCTCCAGATTTAACCTATTGGCTTTATAAACGCCTGATAGATATAGTAATCCGAAAACTGCACGAATTTCTTCTGCGTCCGTAGGCTTGGTGATATATTTATGTTGGTCATTATAATTCTGAGCGACTAAACTGATTTTTTTATTAGTGCATTGGACAATATCTTCTACAATAATATTATCCATGAATAATTCCCAGCAAGAAATGGGTGATTTGCAATGTTTTGCATTATTTCGAACACCGGGAAGTAAAGTAATTAAATTTTCTTGTCGTGTTCTAACCGATTTATTAGGACAGTTCTTTGACCATTTTGTTTTCCCATCCCGTCCGATAAAAAACTTAGATTGTCTTACTTTATCATCTTCAAACTTATTGTTGTCTTGAGAAGATTCTTCCGACGATGATTGACTTTCCTGATTAGAAGTTCCAGGCTGACAATTTTCCACTGATTGAAGTTGGTTTTGTAAAACATCCTCACTGGAACTAAGGCTAACCTGCTGACTTTCATTTTCAGATTCGCTTTCTGATCCTAACTCTGATCCAGTTAATTCATCCTGCCAAAGCTTCAAGAGAGCTTCTTGTTCTTTCTCCCAACTACACATATTTCGATATGTCTGAAATTAAGAATATCTAATCAATTTTCAATATTCCTAACAATTAAATTATGTTTCTGTTAAAAAAATCGAGATAAGTTGTGCTAGTATAAGAACTTACCTGTTAATAATTAACCGGTGTTGTGGGGTTAAAATTACCCAAAAACTAAATAATACTGCACTTCAACTGTGTGGTGGGGTTAAAATCACCCACAAGTCCAAAGAAGGCGACACCACTCATTCAAATCTTATTTATATACTGAAATTTATGATGCAATACAAGGTCTGTTATATTATGGGAAGGTACTCGTGGCGCCAGACGAATCTGGCGATGTTGCCACTATTTTAACAAGCGGTAATGAACGACGTGGGTTATTTTCACCCCACAACACAGTTGCCGGGTTAAAAGACAATGCTTTATGAAAAAAGTATTATTATCAGACTGGTAAAGTGGAATCACGGTTAAGCGTTTACAATTTCTACAGGTATCTCCATAGATTGCAACTAAAATTAGGTAAATTGCGAAGAAATGCAAAAAGTATAGTGACAATGCAATGGAGCAGTATGTAAATGAGATTTTGTTCTACACATTTTTAACGATACAGAGATGAACATGTGTCTTAACCTTCTCTGAACTCTGAGGTTTCCTGTCCTTTTTTTGTAGCATTCATCAAGTCCCATCTTCTTTATTAGATTCTTCTTCTTCTTTTTCTTTAGTGAAAACTTTTACTCACTCCCTTACGGAGTGAGTAAAAAATAAAACAATAGTTTTCTGCTGTCAGTAATTCGATGGGACTGAGTATCATCCGTAACGCCAGCTCTAAATAATTCTTCCTTTTTTACACAACCAAGTTTCATTCTTTTTGTAGACTATGGCTATATGGACAGGCAAGATATGTAGATTTTTAGATTTAATTTGTTGGTTAATCAGGTTCTAAATAATTTTAAGGTATACAATAACGTTGGTGAATAATTAGTTTGTATTTGTAGACAGTACGTTAAGTTTTTTTTACAATAAATTTTTATTGACTCTAGTACGAAGATTCAGTGGCATTTGAAGGTCTGGGCTTCTTAATTTTGTCGGGATTCTTAAAAACAATGTCATGTGGGGCACAGCATCTGTTCCTTATTTCAGACGTCACTAACCATAAGCTAAGATACTCTTTTTCGCCCAGTTCTTGCACTGATTATCTGTAGTCTTCTATGTGTCGGTACTTAGCTACTTTCGAAATTAATTTACCTGTGCTTCAGATTCCACTGTCTGCACTTCAGCCAATGTCTCTTCTTCATTGGATACACCAAAGTTGTTACCGTCTTAAATTTTTGGAATCATAAAGGAAATACACATTTTTATCAGGTTTGAGTCTTCCACGATTTTCCTAATGTGAGGTTTGACTTGTTCTATCAACTCTACTATATTTTTATTGGTTGAAACTAGACCAGTAAGTAGAATCATAACTTTAGTGCCATCCTGGTTTAGGCTGGGGTCAAGTTTAGCCTTTTTTGCAACTGGCTGCTCACTGTGACTGTTCAAGATGATTGGGTCTGGTATTGGTATGTTTAAGTCTTGATGAACATTGAAGATTCTGTTTTTAAAGCGAGACGTTTCGAGAATACTGTTCAATTTTACTATAGTTTCTGGAAATCTTTTGAGGGCTAATGATTCAGCCCGTTTTTTTACTTCTACTTTGTATTCTTGTACCAGAATAAGAACAGATTCCTGTAAGACAGGAATCGTTACAGCTAAACCACATTTTTATAGAGGCTTTCAGGACATGTCCTAAAAGTATGTTAAGTATTTTCTGTTTTTTTTACTTTGTTCACTTCGTCCATTTTAGGGAGATGGTATCTGAGTTAGCAGTGTTTAGTCTAGTGATAACATCAATAATTACTTTGAATTCAGTTTTCTGAAGCTCTAAAAGTATTTTTGCGTTGCGTTGGGCCTTTTTTCTAAGGGTATTTTTCGTTAAGAGTAGAATATTATAATAACTTCTTTGCTTGCATTTGGCCTAGAATATTTCTCAGTAGACTGGACTGAGTTCATTTCTACCTTTTCTAGCTCTTTTTTAGCCTTTTATGACTTTTACGACTTTTATGCCCTGGCATCCTCAAAAATTTATTTAGCAATATGATTATCGTAAATTCCTTGGTGCTCTGGCATCCAGAACAAAATTACTTTGATGTGTCTTGCCAAGGATCTTCTTGTAGTTCCAATCTGGTATGGATTCAAAACTTGTGGACTTTTAGCTAGACAGTTTCATCATCCTTCCTCAGAAGTCCACTGCTGAACATAGGCCTCTTCTTCGTGCTTCCAACCCCGTCTACCTTGCGCCACTCTCATCCAGTTTTTATTTTTTCTTCTTAAATCGTCACCCCATCGTATAGGTGATCTACCGACGCTTCCCTTGTCTTCCCTTGATCTCCATTCCAATAACCTCTTTGTCTCTCGTCCATCTGCCATTATAGCTATGTGTCCTGCCCATCTCCACTTTAATTTGGCTATGCTTTCGACGTCGTTAGTCACCTTGGTTCTCCTGTTTATGTTTCAACTACGCCAATGTTTTCTAGGAAGAACCTTAAACAATAGTTAACTGATAGTGCTCATGATAGCTCAGGAGTCACGTACGATTTTTCTAAAATGTTTGGAACATTTTCAAAAATGCACGTCTATATGGTAAAGTTTTTTGTTTGCAAAGGGTATTATACTCCATTCCACGAATATACGACTGTTTTAAATTCGCTTTAAGGTGTCGACATAAATGGTCCAATGTGCTGAATTGTACAATAGTAAATTCTCCCCATTTTTAAAATACTGTTATGACAGATATACACCTTAGATTTAAATATGAAGTTATGATCTAAATATAGAATTGATAGTTTATAGAATAAGTGATTTAAACAAAGTGTAACAATACTTAAGTGATTAAATAGTTTAATTTATTTAGTTGAATATTCAATTAGTATTAAAAAAACAAAAAAACTTACTCTTACTCTTATTCTCCTTATCACCATTACAAACAAATACACTACACTAAACTCTCTCTTAACGGACACGTCTCTTCACCGGACACCTCTATACGGACGGTTTTTAAAACTAAAATCAGTCGGCGATTTATGAAACTATGTAAATTTTTGTTACTTTTTAATATCTGTAATTACTCGGTACTTTAACTATCAATAGCCGCCATGTTATACCCGTTACTTTCGGAACTTTTAAGAGTATATCCACTCAAAGCAGACCAAAAACTAACAAAGTGGAATACTAGATTCTTTTTCTGGTTTCTGAAGCATCGTTCTGCCAATTTCTTATTATTTATATTAAAAATAATATATTTCTTTTTATTACCGTTGTAGTACCTAGTAATAAAGTAATAAAGATACCCGGCTCGCCTCTTTGGTGTTTACATTTCACCGAAATCCAACCCAAATGGCTGTTGAACACATTTTAACTTCATAGAGGTCTTTGTATTTATTTGTAGAAGCGTTTACATATTTTTTTTGTTATTTTCGGATTAATTTTCGCAATAAATTTTGCGTCTATCTGAACATCTATTAACTGAAATAATTTTAGTTTATATGTCATAGTAACAGAAGATCCTTTTTTATGGAATAATAATTAGACCAATTTACTTTCATACTTCTACTTGTACAGTAAAATATTCATTGTAGCAATAATTCCAAACAGTCGTATATTCGTGGAATAACCTATACTCTATCTACCATACTGTATACATTGCATGCAACCAGTGAATATGGAATTTGTACTCCCGAAGATGCACTTAACCAAAAAATGAACATCTAGATAGAGTGGTCATTCAATTTGTAGTTAGTGTTTTGTTTAAAGAGGCACGTGGCAAAGCAGCACACTACATCAATAAAGGACCAAAAAAAAATAATATTAATTTTGAAAAAACTCTACTTAAATCTGGCAAACAAAATAATTATACAGAATTGAGATATACATTAAGATGACATGGGATCTACTGAAAATGAGATCGAAACAAAATATTAGATAACACTGGTAGCACTTTTGTTACTTTTAATACATCTGGGAAAATTTCTTCAGTAAAACAATTATTATAAAAATAAAAATTAATGGAAAAACCCCAGTAGTTGGCTGCATACCATCGTTTAAAAAACATAATAATAATAGTCTCCCGTTTTATACCGCACGCGGCTTTGGGAGTATAGCAGGGTAGTCTGCTATATCTAGGGCCTACGGTATACAAGGAAGGTAACATGGCCAGTGCTACGCTTCAACCGCCTATTATTACCCCTGGTTTTACCCAAGGTACTCATTTTATTCAGGCTGAGTCGACCTGGGGCCTATAGACATTTTAAAAATGCCTAGTTGTTCTTGCCGGCGGTAGGATTCGAACTCACGACCACCGGCATGCGAGGCAAGCACACTACCGCTTGCGCTACGCGGGCCCGTAAAAAACATAAAAAACATACAGAAGTTAAAACAGTTTACAATTGTATTTTGGTATAAAAACATATAGTTAAAACTTTTTAGAAAGTGTCGTCAAAATTTATATAGTAGCATAACGTTTTCGATCTAATCAGATCATCCTCAGTGCTTTATGTAGTTGAAGCTAACAATAAAGTTGTGGCTCTGACGTCCATATATGGGTTTACATCATTCCAAATTTAAATTATGTTGTGGATCTAGATCGATGACATTGGATAAAATTTATTACTTTAGGGACTACATGTCTCCCTGTTCGGTTTTTGACACGTGGTACTTGTCAGTTAAAACGACACAGACCAACTGCTGGTGGCAGTTAGCAGCATTATCACTGTTATTACCCACAACGTTTACATCCTACCAAAGTTGACATTTTGACTAAGACTGTGGATATCATTCATTTTCAAACTTTTGTTCCTGAGTTAATGCGCTTGAGAATTGCTGATTTGTAATTGTTATATTTTCGTGTGTCTCTTGTATACCCCTGATTTTCTTTCCGTCATCTTTAGCGACGGAATTTGGAGGATGACCGGCAACACCGCTTTGTTTGTTTGTATTTGGCATATGTTTAACCTCCAAATTTGCTAAGTTGTGTAGCAAATTTATAATATAATTCTGATTACTAACGAAGTTCTCTGATAATACTTTTTGAAGTGTCTAATTGAATGTTTGCGATTTTGAGATCATATTTTAATGTTAAATGACTTAGCGCTTCGACATGGTCAGTTATAAAATTACCAGGTAAGGAACTTGGTACTTTCATCACTTTCCACATACTTCACCACTTTATCACTTAATTTTATGTCCAAAGGCACTTTCTTCTCAATTATTATCCTAATTAAATATCTTTTATTTAATTTATTCAATTCTTTCTTGACTTCTTCAACTGCTGCCATGTTGCCGAATGTCTCTCTAATGACTTGGTGATCTCTCCTGCGCATTTCTTTTATTCCCATAAAGTTAGTCGACAGTTTATACCAATGTATGTAAGAAAACAAGTCTTTAATAGTAGTGGTTAATGTAACATGCACAAGCAGAAACTGTATGCTATTCGCATTCTAGTTTTGCTTTAGCTACATTTATCTAAGGGCCAATTGTTTGAACGGTAATCAAAACTTGATTGTAATCAAATATTTAATTAAAATCAAATACGTCCATTATGAGGTTATGTTGACTGATTTATTTTATTCAATTTTATTATTTTGCGTTATAATTTAAAATAAACGATAATTAAACTCTTTTGATGTTAATTTCATGTTTTTATTTACAAACCAAAATTTTACAAAGATATTTTTAATAATTTTGACTGCTGCTGTGACGTATCTGATTATAATTAAATATTTGATTACAATCAACTTTTGATTAGCGTTCGAACAATATCGGCACTAATTGAATCAAATGACTGATTTAATTGTGATTATTTGTGATTTTTTATACGTTATTCCCTTTAACGAATAGCAAAATAAATCCTTTAATATTAACGTATAAAACAGCAATCGTGAAAAATCCTTGGCTTCGTATCTGCATACACGAACATACACAAGAAAGTGAGTCTTTCGGAGTCCAATTTCTTAAATTTTTTATGATGTCGACACAGAGATTCTTTCTGAACACGTCTCGCTGGATCCTGCAGCGGGGATTTTTTCTCAAAATTTTTTCTCGCTTCTGCTCTTCCATTTATATTTTGAATTATTCAGCGGCGCTGTAGCGGTCCTATTCGTTTCACTTCATTATTTAGCAAAATTTCTTTTTTATAGAATTTAGAGGGTCATGACATTGTTAGTTTTTCTTTTTATAAGCAGCAAAAAGTTTCCTCTTGGGTGTAGAGTCGTGAAATATAAAAACCCTTTTTTGAAATAAATTACTCTTCCGGAACATAAAGCTGTTGAATAAAGGACAGAACTTGTGACACATGAGCGATTTTAGGATGTTTTAGATTAGGTTAGGTTAGTAAAAATAATATTTCTACATTTGTCTTAATAATTTTTTACGTTACAATTGTTCGATAACTACGTAGCTTAACAAAAAACCCAAAAAAGCTTCAATAAACAAAATTTTTGTAATGCCTTCATTGTAAGTAGATGCATGAAATTCTTTGAAGTAGCTATTTACAACAGAGTCAATACAAACTACGATTAATGAATTTACATCATTACAATTGCAGATTTGTGGGCAGTTTCGCAATCAGGATAAAAGGCACTTTAATTGTTACCATAATTATTTTTGCAACGAAT